GTCACTTCTGTAGAGAGGAATGTTTTCTGTCAGATTTCTTTCAGAGTCCTTTGTCCTTCTCGCTGTCTCCAAATGCAGACTCTCTTCCTCTTTTTCATTTTTGATAAAGAAGTTATCCATCGACTTCCACTCTCCTTAGATACTCATGTAATGAAAATGGTGAGTGCATGGCCAGAAAGGGCATGTTGAGAAAACAGGACATGCATCAGGTGCCCAGTGCGCAACTTCTCTCCCACCCACCCACCCGGTCCCTCGGTGCTCGATTTCCGCACTGCCTGTGCTCCAGAATAGATGGGGAGGGGATGGCAGGAAGCCCCCCAGGTGAGCCCCACTGTACCAAGTTGGTCTGAACAGCTCCGGAAATGTGGCTTTCGTAACATACTAGGAGGGAGGAGGAAGTTCTGACCTGGTAGGCTCAGCTTGCCGCACCTCGCCTCCCTCCACCCGCTAAAAGTGCCTGCGCTCCTGGCCCCAGACAAGCCTTTGAGGAAATAAACCCACCGCTCCGGAGTTGGGGTTTGGGCTACGCAAGGCTCCACGATAAGGGGAGGTACCTGCGAAGCGGCTGGGTCACCACCAGGCGGCGCGTCGGACCCGAGTAGCGAGGAGCAGTCCGCGAGGTCCTGCAGGTCTATGGTGGTGAGGGCTGCGCGGGGAGACCGGGAGACACGCGCCGGGCGGACCCTGAGCCTCCCCGCCAGGCTTGCCGCTGGAACCCCGGCTGGGGCGTCGGAGCCCGTGGAAGAGAGGCTCCTCCGAGCCGCGCGCGGCGCAGCCACCCGGCGCGGGGAACCCGAAGGGTCGCGCGGGTGCCAGGGGGCTCACCTGGCAGCGCAGCGGGCTCCGCGTCCGGGGGATCCTCGTACACCGACACTGGGCTGCAGCCAGTGTATCCGGGAAAGAACTTCCGCGGAGGGGCGAACTAGCAGGGCACAGAAACGGTGAACTGGTCAGCCCTCGGGGCACAGAGCGCAGACCCAGCCCGGCCCCAGTCAGCGGCCCCACCTTCCTCTCCAGCTTCCCGGGCTTGCCGAGGGGCCGGCCCGGCACCCCCAGCATCCTGTTGGGGCAGATGCTGTCGAAGGCCCGGCGTCCCGCCGTGCCGGGCCCGCACGCCTGCATCTTGCCACCAGGTGTCGACTGCTCGGAGGCTACGGCCGCGGCTGGGAAGGCGACCCACACCCAGCGCTCCGCCCAGCGCCTGCAGGCTCAGAAGCGGGACGGAGGTTGGGGAAGGCGCGTGGCCTGGGAGGGGCCGACGGGCGGCTAAGGAGGCGCGGAGGGAGGGCGGAGAGGCGGGGGAGGACCGCGGCGCCGGAGGGGAGGCTCGCGCCTGAGCGCCAGAGGTGGCGCCTTCAGCGCGGACAATCTGCGCGCGGGCGGAGGCGTCAAACCCAACCTGGCAACGAGGCTTCCCCCGGGAGCCGCCAGCGCGGGGCCCGGGCCCGCGAGCGCCCTTTCGTCTAGTGTTGGCGCCGCCGTCTCCCGGCCTCGCCAGGCGAAGAGAGGGAAAGAAGGAGGGGCGGGCGAGTGCCAGCCGTCGCTTGCACTGAGTCCTGTCTTCCCGCTTCCCGACAGCGGGAATGGAAAAGTTAACGATTCTTATTTCCTTTTCTTCCCACTCCAGCCGCAAGGCAGGAAATAAACGTGGAGTGACACTCGCCAAAGCTAGGCTCCGCATTTGCTCTGCCCTGCAGGTTTTAGTGGGGTTGCAGAATTGCAGGAGGACTCCCTGAAATAGCCCTTTCCCCTAAACCTGGGCAGTATTCTGGGTCTTGACTTTCGGACTTCCACTTGTTCTCTCTTGGCCTTTATGCCAAGAGCAGCGCCCCCACCCCCAGCCCCACACTTTGCTGGACAGTGGCCTGTGAGCACAGCCTTTAAAGAGTAAATTAAGAAAAAGTGACTCTACAAACCCTCCTCCAGTTTCTGAAAACGCCAAGGTGGATAAATACCCCCAAACCCTGTCCTCTCTCCCCTGGTGGCCTCAGCTACCCATCGCAACGTTTTGCGGCTCTCTTTACCGCTGGCCTCCTTGCTGTGCCACAGTCTTAGCTACCATTTCCAAGCCTGAGCCCTCTCCCAAGAAGGGGCATGTCCCAGAAAGGGGCATCCTTGGTGAGGGGCCTCTCTCAGGACTACTCATATTCATCCAATTTGAACAATCATCTGAAATTGGAATCTTTGTATACCCTCCTATTGGGCAGTTTGTTTTCCCCTTATACCTAGTAGTAGTAAAAGATCCTCTTTTAAAGGGTCACCATCCTCTTTTATTTCCACTCATTTTCTGGAGTAAGAAACAAATACCCCTAACAGTGGTGGAGGGTAACCGAATGGTAGGAGTGGAATTGACTTAGAGACCCTCTGACCCATGCATAGATGCAGGAACTGTATTGGGGTGAGGTCAGCCAGCTAGAGTTGGTGTGGTGTAGCTGATAGTAAGGAACTTTGGCTTTAAGGTCAGAGTGCCCAAGGACCAGGTCTGTGAGCCCCAAGTGTTTAGGAAAAATAGTAACACTGGCCTCAATAGAGTTGCTGTGAGATTATTTATGTAAAGTGACTGGTGCTTAGTATGGGTAAATTAATAGAGTTTTTTGTTTGTTTTTTAAAGCAGCTTTTTCAGCTATGCTTCCAGCTTCCCACAGCCTGTTTCTGGCTATGTCTCCTGATTCCTGGGTAGTACAACCAGTAGCTAGTTTATTTCCACCCCATCCTTACCCACTTTCTAGTCTGTAAAATGAGTAGGGGAGTTCTTAGCTGAGTTTCCAGGAGATCTCTACACACAGAGACAAGATTTTCCAGGATAAGCCCATTTCCCAGTAATCATAGAGTTCCAAATTGGGGTAGAGAAATATGGGCATTGTACAATAGATTATGTGTAACAACAGGAACTGGAATGGCATGATTATATGACTCCTACTCTGGATGATTCTGGAACCAGTCACCCATAACAATCATGGCTGAGTGATGGGGTAGATACTGGTGAAGACACCTCCTCCCAAAGTTACTGTTTTGCAGAAGGCCCAGCCCTACCCCCTTACAACTAGGCAGAGGTTCCCAGATAATTCGAGACTGGTAACAATTGATATGATCTTTCTTCTCCTCCTTTTTCACCAACACAGAATAGCTTTCCCCCAAACAGCTTGGGGATCACCACTTCCCTCTTCCTGAGCCAAGGAAGAGAAAGTTCCTAGAGAGCTGAGTGTATCAACGTATCAGAAGAAGGATCCAGGGGGTCCAGAGTAAGGCACCCCTGGCTCTGGAGAGCACTTGGAAGATGCATTTGGAGAGAAGCGCAAAGAAGTTTCTCTAAATTTGCTTTGAGTTTGTTTGCTTTTTATTTGTTTTTGTCACATATTTTGATTATCCTAAATGTAGTGGAATGTGACTGAGATTTTTCCCTCAAACTTATGCCTTTTTTTCAACCATACAGATAATTTGAAAACATAGTACAATGAACAGCCCCCAGTTAACATTTTCCCATATTTGCTTTCTCTCTTGTTCTGTTCTCTGCTCCAAGTTTTTCTGCATAATCCCTCTCCTCCTATCATCGTGCAGGCTACCACTAGCCTTCTATTCTTGAGGGCTTCCTGTGTGCCAGGACCTGTGCTGGGGGATTTGTTTGGAGCATCTCATTAGAGCCATACCTCAACCATATTAAATAGGTGCTATTGTTATTTTCACAATTGAGGCATAGGCATGGGGGCCCAGAGCCCACTCATTTAATCGCTGCTTTATACTACCTCACAACACTTAAGCTTAATTGCATTTAAGCTTCACAACCACCCTGGTATCAAGAGAGCATAAGACATTTGCTGGAGGTGACAGAGCTGAGATTCAGGGCCTGCAGCAGATTCACCACAGTGAGGCCGAAGATACTGTGACAGCTATAGAGTCAAAGAACTCCAGCAAGCCTCTCATTTTCCAACACAGTTTTCTCATCTGTTAAACAAGTCCTGTAACATGACTAGAGGTAAGGAAGGACTGTGCTGGCTCTCCAAATATATTCTCTATAGCCCTATTGAATGAAGAGCACTGAGTAACTTGCCCAGCACTTACATCAGGTTTTTTGTTTTTTCAGAATTTCTAGAGACCTATTAGTGGAAGAAGTTTAGCGGTGTGGCTAAGAGCGCGAGTCTAGACTCATATCGCCTGCCTTCAAATCCTGGCTATTCCACTGGTAACACAACTCTGTGCCTCAGTGTCCTCCTCTGAAAAATGGGATAACAGACTCTGCTATATAGAATTGTTAGAAGGTTGAAATAACCAATGCTGAATGAACATGACCACCTGCAAATCCCTCCCTTCCAACATCGGCCAGTTGCACCTGGGATTCTCGGTATCTGGGTCTCTCTTGTTTCGCCCTCTGGTAATGCGCCTGCGTGGTCCCCAAAGCTTCCCTGCCCTGCTTACGTCGCACCTGCCAGAGCAACCCTGGCCCCTCCAAACGTCATCGACTTCTGTGGGTTCTATTCTGCCTAACATTCCACCCGCGCCCTCTGGAGCCCTGGAGGTGCGCAGTCCCCAGCCTCCTGACATGAGGGCCACAGGACCCAAGCCCACAAGTGACCCTGGCTCGCCTTATCTCTGGAACCTTGGTATCCGGGACCTCGCCTGATCTGGCGTTCTTGCACAGAGATACCAACGAGAGTGGATTTAGAGAGAGAGGAGGATCCCTTGAACGTTGGAGATCGCCCCTATCCCTGAGCTGACTTCATCTTCCCTCCCCGCAGACAGACACGTGCAATAGCAGCATTCAGACAAATCACGACTGATAGTCTGTTTATTGGAGAAAGGCTCAGCTCCCTCGTGTGTTCTCAGAGAAATAAACTGCTAGATGCTACTTTCGTACACTATTTACAACCTGCAGTTGACAAAGCAGGAACCCTGACCCC